GCATGTAACTTTATTTTGTGATTTTGTGAGTTTACTCCAATAACATCTTTAACCAGCTTCATCAAGCCCACAAATAACAAATCACTCTTAAACCCCGGTATACATAACTTACCACCTTTGTAAATGCCATCAACCCAATGACCACCATGTCTTGTTACAAGTCGCACTATCAGCACGCCTCTAAAATTTGAAAAAAAAAAAATTACTACATGCTATGTTCTAAAATTTTGCTACACGTTCTATTGAAAACATGTTGTTCTTACACGCCATGGTCAAAAAAATTTTACAACTTTGATGTTTATACTACCATTTGCCACCCCACACATATTGAAATCAAGATTAACTAGGTTTTTTTTTTAATATTATGATATGCTTCTTTTATCTGATACTAGGTTTTTCATCATCATACAATACATGATCATCAATGGGCTTGCTTTTCCCCTACATAACCAAAATGGTATTTTCTTTTCTCTTTCAAACCCACTAATTACCAAGTATCGTATGATGAAAGCAAGTTCACTGTAGCATCTTGCAAGTGCTCACAAACAATTTATATTACACATAATGGGTTTATATCTTTTTTTATAATATCTGAAATCAAAAAAATCAAATTAATTTATCAACAACCCTACACAAGTCAGGTTCTAAAATATTGTTATAGACCATGTTGATATGATGTTGTTACACGCCCTATTCAAGAAAAAAGATATTACATGTCATTTTCATAAAATGTTACCCACCATGTGCAAAAACAATTTTGCTATACGCCGTGTTGAAACACAATATGCTACAAGCCATTTTCAAAGAAAAAAAATTCTATACGCCATGTGCAATGATTTTGCTACATGCTATGTACAGACAAATGTTATTACACAGCATAAATAAAAACAAGTTACACGCCATGCTATGTTCAATATATTTGTTATGTGTCATATGCATTACAGCTATAACAAATAGGCATAACACATAACAATTCTGGACAGTGTTCTAATTTATAGGTAAAGTTTAATAAATGAATGGTGTGGGTTTTCATCATTTTTGTGGTTTTGTGAAAAGCAATAAACACAATAACCTACTTTGATGTTATTTTTGTTCTTAAATTTATATATCGATGACGATATAACAAGATAAAGAGATATAGACCAAAACACAATGTAAATAGTACTCAAATTAGAGAGAACTGGATGGCAAGAGAGATCTAAGAGACCATTTAATTTGTTTGTACGATGAAAGGGAAAAATCAAGAAATTCATTTATTTGAAATATCTTTAAAAATATTTTAATCAAGTCATAATAAAAATTAAATAAAAGCAATTATCTTACTAGCCATGCTCCATAATCTTCTTTTACTTTTGCTCTTACTTGACCAAAAGTGCTCCTTAAGGACTAAGTTTTTGTTCTCGTGGCAAGGCAGTCTGCGTAAAGTCTACATCCCACAATGGGGAACAAAACCAAAAAGTGGGGTCCGCAGAACTTGGCGAACAAGTTGAGTATAACACTAGTAATTTGAACCAAACTCCGATGCTAATCACCTTACTTGTTGACTAAATTCACTAAAATACTAATCATGGCTTGGCTTTGGACTTTGGCTATTATGCCAACCCTGCAAGTACCACACACTTGGCCAGGAAGTAGCAACCATGTAAGCCTCTGACATCAAATTACTAACATAAACTTTTTTTTCCTTTTTTGGGGTTCAAACTAAATTACATAACATTGACACGTTTAGTGGGATCCACTTAGAATATTTTCTTGTTCTTCAGCTTAGCAGGCAAGGAGTGTAGCCACTACGCTTATATAGAGTATTATCATCTTCTCGTCGCTACTTCCCTCTGCTTTCTTAAACTGAAACTCTTATCAAGTTATTCTTGTTTCATCATCTTCTTCAGCCTTTCTAAAATGGACATTGTCAAGGGATTCAGATTTCGTCCAACTGATGAAGAACTCATAGAGTATCTGCAGGATAAAACCTTCGACCGTGATTCTCTAGTCCAAGTTATAGCTGAAGTCCACGACATCTGCGAGTTGGAGCCTTGGGAATTACCCGGTAAAACTTTTATTTACTGCAATGTCGTAGCAGTTTCTTTCTTTGCTTTTGAATTTTGATGCTTACTAAGTACTTGTCAAAGTATCACCATGCCCTTTTATCACTAGACTGAAGCCTTGTTGATCAACATGTCGAAACATGTTCATGTACTGGTTTTTTGTTAAATATGTGTGTGTGTGTTTCAGAGCGTTCGGCTTTGCAGACTGTGGATCGTTTGTGGTACTTCATGTACCCACCAAAATACAAGTACCGCAATAGTAAACGAATTAGCAGGACCACCCTGGAGGGGTATTGGAAACCTACGGGCAACGCTCGTAAAATAATTAATACCCACACTGGAGAGGAGATTGGCAGCAAGAAGACTTTGGTTTTCTATAAAGGCCAATGTAATGACAAAAACAAAAACAAGACTTGCTGGGTCATGCATGAGTATGAACTAACAGCCGCTGAGCCAACTCATTCTGACCATGTAAGTGATACCTTTAATACTTTATTTTTTCATGGGCTTAACTGCATCAAAAATTTGCTTTAGCGAAAGATGTGTTTTTCTTTTTCCATTCTTTCTTTTTCTTTCCGTTGATGATGAGGAAAATTGTGGATGCTGTTGATCGCAAAATGGGCTAGCTTTACATCTTTATACTTTGTTATTTATGGATGACTGCAAATGCTAGTCATTTGAATCCTATGGTTTGGATATTCACTTGGGAAAGTAACTTGTATCGTTTAGATTGTTGCATAGGATTTCAATTTTAGACTGTACATTGTTTCATGCAGGAGCAGTTGATCAGAATTTTGTTAACTGTTGGTTCTTTTCTGGAAGGAATTATAAGCCTTATTATAAACTGAGGACAGCGTATTACTGCTATAAGTTATCGAAAATGGTTATAAATGTGCAGGAAATGTCAAAATTTTCAATTTTAAATGCGTGAGTTCTGTTCTCTAAGTTACCTAAAACAAAAGTTTCAACAACAAGACATGTATACACATTGATAATATAGTTCTTTTTTCTTCTTTAATTTGTGTAGAAAACTTTCAATCTTTGTAAATTGAAGAAAAAGGGTGATATTTCCAGTAGTACTAGTGAAGCTGGTCAATCAAGTCAGCATTCTCTTTCTAGTTTAGAATATCATGTAGCAAGCAATGCAACGTCGGAGGTTAGATTTGCTTTATGGGAATATTTTTCTTTTCTTCATTAAGTTTTCCATGTCAATATCATGAGCATATATATTCACAAGTATTGTCTATTTTTCTATGATCAGGACGTGCTAGACCTTAAAGGATCGAGTGCGCCAGAAGCATCTAATGGCAGCGTCGGGATTCATACTCAATCCAGCAGCGTTGAGACCTATGCTGGAGAAAGAAGCAATCAATATAACATAGTTAATGAGGACAAAGGCTCTAATTTATCCTCTAATTCCGTAAATCATGTCGCAGAGGAAATAATTCCACAGGTAAGATGCCTTGTGAGGAATTTCTTAATCATTTATCGTTGAGGATGATCACTATCTCAACTATTTCTTTTTTGTCTGATTCAGGGCCGGTTACACCTTAAAGCGTTGTCAACAGAACCGAATGGACCCAATGACAATAACAAGGTTCAAAACCTGTATAGCACCACTGAACAGGACGATGAGTCTTGCAATTCAATTCTCACTAACAACGATGAAACGGACCCCATAGAAAGAAGCAATCAACATAATGTAGTTGTCACAACTGAGAGCTTCGAAGTGCCCTTTAATTTAGATTATCTTGCTCATGAGGATTTAATTCCAACGGTAAAATCTATTTTTCTTGGTCATTTATTCCTGCAGATCATAATAAAAGAGATGGAGAACTAAGCTGCTATTGTCTGTGTTACAGGAGCTGTTATATAATGCACTGTTATTAGCAGAGCCAGAGGCAACTAATAACTCTAATTGGATTCAAAATCAACATATCACCAACTCAGGAGAAGATGGTGAGTCGTTGAATTCAAGCTTTGCTGATAGTAATGAAGTCTCCCTTCAAGAAGGAAGCAGCCACCAGTCCTTGGCTGCTGCAAACAAAGGCTTCCGCTTGCCCTGCATTGGCGTGATGGAATCACCCATTTCGATGGAGAAATCTAGAAAAAGGCCTCGTCATGAATTTGATGGATTAAGCCATGATGTACAAACCGGAGAGGCTCAACCTTGGGGAAAAGAATACCCCTCTAGTAGCAACAAATCCATAGAATCTGATTGCTATAACATAATAGCAACAAGAAAGAGCTAGAGATGCCCAAGAGAAGCTTAGAAATTCTCAGATATCTCAAATATTGCAGAAACTGAAGAATGCTGTTATTTTGCGTTTCAGTCATTGAAGAATGTTCAGAATGTAAAATAAGAATTTGGGATGATCTTGCTTGTAACTAGAAAATTGATGATAGCCCATAGGGGTTTAGGGTTATGTAAACAGAGCTAGTCATCAGAAATGAAAGTCCTCCAAGATGTTGGTTTAGAATAGCTTGAACTTATATTATGTTGCTGCTGTCTTTTATGTTATGCTGCCGTTTGAGATTATTCTAACTTTGCTTCTTGGCAAACAATTCTCACCCTGCACAGAATTGTTATCATGAGGGAGCCATTTTTATTTGCCAGAGAGGTAACTAATATACTTACACACGCATCCTTTCATTTCTTTGGAAATTAGTTGCTGTGCGAACACCTTAATCGTCACGTTCAAAATTAAATAAATACATAAAAACAACACCAGATCCACAAATTTGGATTGGCTATCACAACTATTCACAACCGTGATTACCAGAGCATTTGGCATACTGGGAGAATCATAGAGGTGTACGAATGGCCCACCCCAAGGGTTGTTCATTTCCTTCAATGACCAACACAGCGGGGACACCATTGGCAACTCACACTCCATAAACAAACCTGATGGAAGTTTGTGGTCAATTACATAAGATATACTCCGAACAGAGAGATAAGTAACCTACACTAATTTTTGCCTAGGAACAAAGTTCATTAGTACAAATTCCCACCGGGGTGACAGCAAGTATAACAAGATGATCAGAAAATATTACAAAAAAAAAAAAGCGGGAACCAAAACTTAATCCCCAACAAAGACAATATTAGCTGCCAAATAGCTGAACTAGCTCTATCCAAAAACATTATTATTGATAATTGTATAAGCATTAAAGACCAGGATACATGAATCATAGCCCACTGTCAGGATTCTTCTTTACTTAGTTTACCAAGTGCTCTCTGTGCAAAGAGTTTTTCTTCTCGAGCTTGTTTTGCAGCAAGGGCTTCTTCATCAAGAACTTGTATAGGAGACCATTCTGGCAACTTAAGCACACCACTATTCTTGTCAAACATAGATTCACTGAAGTTGCGTAATTTAGGTCTTAATTTGAGTGCAGCAAAATCCGCTGCAGTTCCAACAGCAGCAAAGATGATCGAATAGCGATAAGCACCAAGTTGACCACCTAAAATGCCAAAGAAAATACCTTTTAAAAACGATTCTTTAGGGATGATAAAGGTAACAATCAAGCAACTTTGGCACTGACGCGCTTGCACACACCAGGGTTAGCAATGCAGACTGAACATATCACAAAAGATACTCATCCACATATGCACAAGCACACAAGCATGGAGTGAGGTAGAGATTGGCGAACTTTACCTTGAAGACGACCCAGTAGAGCACCTGTACCAAATCCAGCAATTGCAGAGTTCAGTAGATCATCAGGTCCCGTTTTACGAGTTACTCTCACAAATTCACGTGCTCCTGCCAAATTAAAGGTATTATATTATAGTTTCCAATTGAATTATTTCTTTGCAAGGAATATGGTGCTGTTGATACCAAAGCATCAGTTATCAAATATGCCTGGTAGCAAATGCTTATGTCTCTGACTGCCTTTAATTTCCTTGGCAGGAAGATCAAGTTTGCCATGAGCGAGTCAGCAAAAAGACAGAAGACACGGGAGGGAAGGTACATGTTCTCACAATGAAGATGTAAATGGTCAGGTTAAAGAGAAAAAAAAATGTGGGAGGCAGGTTTTCAATGTACAGTAAAAGTTCAAGGCCTCTTACAAGGTTAATGATTTTGCAAACAAGCAAAATTTATATAATTAATAATACATGATCCATGGAATTGCTTTTTGGCCCATTATCTACCAAAATCATTTGCTAACACAAAATCCAAAACTTTCGTATAACTCAGAAGCTGTATTAACCTTTATAGTTACATATTTTATCCAATAACACTAGTACAAACCAAAATGAAGAATTATTAGTGGTTCTCAGTCTCCATGCTATAGTCTTTCTTGGAGTCTGCATTCAGCAGTGTGATGCTAACTCACACATCAACACGAGAAATGAATCTAGCATGCCTAGATATGGCAAGAGTTATGTTATGGAGAAGACAATGATTTCCTAATTCTTATAACTATAGCAAGAAAAGAACTAAGAAGCTCCCTAACATTAACACATCAATGCATCAAATAAAATTCCGAGATGTAAACACCTAAGTATGATACTCCACCCAATCCCTTTGAAATACTTATCTAAGCCAAGAAAGCCAAACACCCAAGTAACCTCAATTTCTGCACCAACACCACTTCCAGTTATGACTTTGTCATGGAAAAACTTGCACAGAGTGGTAGAGCACAAGCAACTCATTGTTTTTTTTTTTTTTTGGAAGATCAAAGAAAACCTTAATCATTGGCTTGTGTGTAACAGATAACTACAGATGAAGCCACTGAAGAAAATATGACCCACCATCACAACCAACAGCATAAACTAGGTAACTGGAATTCCTGTAAGACTGTGTTTGATTGTCGCTTTTACTGCCGTTCGTAAAAGAGAGCAATATTTTGGAAGAATTAAATATTAAAAATATAGTTTTTCCAAATAATGAAATTAATTATTTATTTTTATGCTGCACAATTTAATCCAATTATGACTGAAATTAGAGTACATGTAAACTTTTTTGGCTAATTTTCAATAAAAATAGACTTTGGCTTTAACTATAACTCATCACTTGCAGTTACCTAAGTTGATAGCCTGAAATTATCACTGAAGAAAGGAAATAGTACCACAATAGCAGCCAGTGACAATAGCGAAATTAGCGGCATAAGTAGCTGAAATATTAGCTAGGCCATGAACTTTTCGATGCTTTGACACCAAACCAACTCCTCCACCAGCAACCCCTGTTTATAAAAAAACACAACCAATCAACGTTGCTGCTCTTTAAGTAAACAATACACAAAGGAAAGCCTTTGATTAATGAGAGATGACAAAAACCAAAAGACCTGCAAGGATTGTTGGGATCAATATACGATGCCGCCAGTCCTCGGAGAACGATGATGATGAGGACTCTCCTTGATGGGTAGTGGATGCCATTTTCTGGCTTGGAGCTTTTCTGGGTTCAATCAGTTTCAGTTCGATGAGTTCATAAACAGGAGCAGGGAGATTTGACGAATGACTAACAATTTGCCTTTTGGTTGGGTCGGAGAACAAAAGTCGAAACAAACTAGAAGAAAGTAGACTCTATTGGGTCCGTGGAGGAGTTTTATTGGGTCAGATTCGGACCTGGTATCATAGCAAAGCATAGGCCCAAAACGTGGTATATATGTAAAACTTTTACTGCAGCGATTCACCCTATTAACTATATACAAACTAGTGTACTAACTTTTCTTCTTAAGCTCGTTTGACTGTTAATTACAACAACTGTGTGTTGTGCGATAAGGATTAAGATGAGGACAGTTGGGCCGAAAAACTTGAGCAATCAAGTCATGGATTTCTTTTCAATTTGAAAGCAATACAAGAAGCCACCATGCATCGGAGATGTACGCCTATACTTTTGAGAGCTCCGGCTCTGACAACACACAGTCCTCTTCTCCCAGGGGCTAGGGATAGCTTTTCATGTAGCCCTCCGCTAGTGAACCCTTGCCTATGGCAACCCTGGCTCTCACTCTACTCCTTTCTTTGTAATGCCTGCCCTGCCTGTCACTGCCGACTCGGATCTTGGATACGTGCTAAAGAATGAACCAAAAATTTACGTTATTAGGTCATGAATCTACCACCAAGCATAGGACTTTCTATTTTACTTTCTACGTGAGATTTAAAAACATAATACCTAGTACCATTGTTATTGTCCGACTAAGTCCATCCTTTTGAATGGCTGTTTATCAAATGGACCTTAATCGCTCAGCATTCTTGAGCTTTGTTTTACTTTACTTGTGATGTCTGCCCAATGAAGAAAAGATGATTCCCTAGCTAGCAAACTAACTCTCTGTATTATCTCCTTGTCTGAATTTCCTTTTCATGCCTTAAACGGACAAATGTCGCCCGAGCAGGAACCCCCAAGACGGAAACATAGAGCACAAGTGGCGTAACTGTACCCGTACCTAGGAAGGATACATAAATGCTTCCTGGAAACAAAGTTGTTGGAGCATTTTGGGACAGCAATAATGACCTCAAAACAAGTTCAGGAAAACAAAATAAGGCACTATAGCCTAGCATGCCTTTCATCTGTCTAACAACAATGGTGGGGTTGATGCAACTAATATTTACCACTTATTGGGGTTAAACACTATAGATATCTGCTTACCAGAAGATAAATGACATCTATCATTACTTGCCCTAATAGGGGCCTTTATACACTCAAAAATGGAGACCCAGCAACTAGAATTAACTACTGAAACCCGATTATTCAGCCTCACCCTCAAACCATTATTTTCATGAGGCTGAAGAGTCTGGCCCCGCCTCTTCTGAAGCTGACAGGCTATTGACTCCTTGTTTGCTGTCCCAGTCACCGTTCTCTATTGCAGGTTCAGACCTCTTCTGTGGTCCAGCCCCAAGCCTTCGCTTGTATTCTGTAATCATCATTAAAATTAAACCCATTGAATATTTAAATGATAAAAAGCTCAGATATTCAGGATAAGAATCCATCAGGAAAGGGTTACTTTTATTGGTAATTGAACGGCGAGTATATGCCAAAAACTCATCCCACTTGAACTTCCTAAGCTCTTGCTTTTCCTCCTCCGAAAGCTCAAAGTTGGGTTCCCTTCCACACATGAAAGCAGCTCTACAGAAAAAAATCATCTACCATTGAGTTTCGAAATCCATTAACCTATCTATCAACATAGCCATTCTATAAGTTTTATTACCAAAATACAATTGACAGTAGGAAACCATCTTAGCACATTAAGAAGTGGTAGAAACCAGCATTTTTACATAGAGTAGATGGCATAATAAAAATTAAACCAAAGAAAACTTTAAAAGTCCCAAAATGTAGAAATAATAATGCCAGACAAATATAGCTCTTTACTAATCCTTTATGTATAGAGGCTAGGAATCACATATATCTTCAAAAAATTTTCATACGTACTGTCCGATACCCATGTAATTTGCATATGCATATCAATTTTATTTATCATCAATATACATGAACACTTTCAAAGAAATTCATTAATAAAATGAAGAACAAGTTTACCCTCATACCATGGTAAAACATGTTCTTACAGCAAATCAATGTTCTTATCAGACAAATATCTATAAAGCTTAAAGTTTTTTGCATTTTTATCACACTGTCCAACCTTCATGCTACTGAACAATAATATTTGTATTACAGATAGTGATAAGAGTTTCTGCACAAATTGTAGTAGCAATCATTACAGGCAAAATAAAGCCAACCTATTACCTGTCATATAAACGGGCAGCTTCCTCTTGTGAACCAACAGTCCCTAAGTGAATCTGTTTCTTGTCAACTTTAATTGCAGCCTGCCATTTCATATTTTTGAAGTATACACCCCTCATTAGACATGGTTCTTGGTTTTGAACATGTTTCCGCCTGTGTCGCTTCCTGCGTTTGATTGGTTGCCCTACAGATGATAACATTGTACATGGGCAGCAGTCAAAATGTAGAAATTAAAATGGCTCCCAGCATCAGATTTTGATGCTAAGGACATGTTTTATCTGGAAGCACAATGGCATGAACACAGTTCTGAGATATGTCATTTTTCTCTTTATTCTAACTAACAAAAAAGGGTAAAAAATGCATCTTACTCAAATTGCTTCCGTATTTATGTCAAAATTTTCATTTATCACAAGTAGCACTCTAAGATAGCCCAAAGAGAGATAAAAGGAAAAGTTCAAAACTCACATGTCAATGAGATTCTAATACATAATATAAAACAGTCCCTACTATGCACATTAAATATCTGCAGATCAGATCTTTTTCATAGCATCATATCACAAGGTTGATTCTGAAGACAGTAGTTTCTGATACTGCCATGATCAAACTGATGATTATCCAAGATGTTGAACTGTCAAAACTATAAAACTTTGACAAATGAATTGTGCAGTATTTTTTATTTTTCTTCTTTTGCACAAAGATTAAGCTTATATGCTAGCCTCAAATTTGAGATACATAAAACAACTAGTGAGAGGCAAGAATGGTATGTAAGAGAGCAGAGGGCATGAGGGAAGAAGTAAGCTTTTGGAGAGTTTTAGAATAGTCCGAGAACCATAAACCATTGCAATAATAATCCCGGCAGCTTCACCATCATAAATGCAAATATGGCAAGGATGCTCTTCTTTCAAGCCATCTAAATCGATGTTTTCAGAGAATGAAGTGAACGGATAAATGAGAAAAGAAAGTTATCAAATTACTAGAATAACTCTGCAAAACCAGGTTCAAAACAAGTACTTGGGAGCTCAGAAATGCACATTCATATGGAGGAAAAAAGGCTACCATAGGCTTCTCTAATAGTCCCTACTTCCCATTCCTTATATGTTAATCTCATTTCATAACACAACCCCATTAAGAATGCAAAACAACCATGACATAAAACCCATTAGTAAGTATAAGCTAGTTTTACAAATGCTAAGGTCTCATTAATCCCAAAAAAGCACACGTATGGCCAGCCAATCTATTTTTCCTGATCAGCATCATATGGAATTTGATAAGCTGGAAGCCCATTAATATCATCTAAAACCACATAAAATTTTAAAAGTAGCCCTTATATAGTTCATTCCAAGACATGCATTTTTGTCTGGAACAATGCTTATGATCAAAAAAAAAAGTCAATCACCGAAATGTAATTTAAGAATGAGGAAACTCTAGTTCAGGCAACCTCCAGTGGGAAATTTCAGAAAGTTATGACCAAATTATTTGATGGACCTCACAACCCAATAGTTGAATACAACTTCAGACAGCAAAAACAGGTTATTTCATTGGATTGGAGTTGGAGAACTAAAGATCCCAAATAAAGATCATGCAAAATGCTATCAGTTTCAGCAACCAATCCATAATTGCCAGTTTTCTATATTGTTATCACATTATGTCATTACTTCGACCCATGCCTCAGTTCCTTCTAGTACACAATTTTCTCTCATTTCATTAAAATTATCCAATATGTGTTTTGCAGACATGCATCTGAGAAGATTTTTTCCGTTTGCTATCTTATTAAAAATAGACATACCAAAGAGAAAAAAGTTAGAGAGAGAGGAAGAGGAAGGAAGGACTAAAACCAAGCTATAAACAAGTTTTCCTGCTTAATCAATATTAACAAATGTATGGAACAGTGTTTCTCAAAGAGACAAACCTGGAAAGGGTTGATTATGGTGCTCTTTTGATGATCCAGAACCAGAAACATTTGGTGATCCAGAGCCAACCTTTGCAATGCTTTTCTGAGAAACAGCATCAAATAGCTACACATAAGTGTAAATTCTATAGTAAAAACAGAAATTGAGCAGTACATGCCACCTGGTATTTATCTATCATGAATTTAAGAACCTAAATCATTTAATACATTTATAAAGACCTACCAATGCATGCCAATTAAATCAACTCGAGGGTAGCAGGAAAATATGAATTAAAATTCAAAAACTCTGCAGTGTTTACACAAACAATAAAACAGATTCTGAAATGCAGACAGCTTTTTACATTAAGCAACTATGAATCAGTTGGCTAGTATGCCAAATATGGAGGCACTTAAAAACCATTTTAGCTGACAACTGACTATTTATCCTGTGATTCTAGCTCAAAAAGGAACTATGCTATATGAAATGAAATTTTATAGCGAGAATGGGTGCCCCAGGATGCCATGGACCGACCAAGCATCAACAGTTAATGGATTCATCATATCCTTTCATTCCTCCATATTGGCAGAGGAACCCAGGAATCCTTGTGATCACACACATGAAAACACCAAACAAAAGATAGTATCATTACCATTTGCATAATTTCTATCAATTGCAACAGAATAGACAATTTTTTCTATTTAATGATTCTCATCCAGCTGAGTTAAAGGAGTCAAAACAAGTAGCATCTATAATGCCATACTTTTTCTCACGTATCCATCTTTTAGCTCACTCCTATGTAAGATTCCACATATGCCACCAACAGATGGCTTGAACATTATTTTAACCATAACTACTACACCAACCATGAACACTGGCCATTTACGTGAAGAGATGCATTTGTAATAGACAGGATACCATGCAAATACAGATACAAAGCAAAAACACATTCTCTGTCAGTAATCATCAACTAAGGACACATCATGTTTGCGTTATTGCATAATACCAATCCTTCCTACAAAAGAAAAAAAAAACCGGAAATCCACCATATTGAAGGAGAAATTCTTCCATAATGATAGATGGCCTTTCCTTTTTCCCTTTTTCTGTACAACATTGGATGAAATGACTTACTTCTAGATTATTATAGCATGGAAAAGACACCAGTAAATACATAAGAGGAGGAAAGGAAATGAACTATGATTAAAGATACATAATGGTGTATCCTTTCCTCTTTTTTTTCATAAACACCACATACTGAATTTGACACCCCCATCTCCAAACTTGTGCATTCTATGCATGTTTAGGCTTTGAAAATATTGGACACTGATACATATGTAGATGTGGCCAATAAATTGACATAAATTAGTACGGCTTTTTTAACACAAGCATCTTTAGTCCAAGGGAAAAAGCAAAAATAATCTTTCCAAGCTACTAAGTTCGTATGAAATGGTAAAAGAAATAGTAACTGAAAATCACCTCATATCAAGGCAACCAAGAAATCAAAGTAAAACACTGAAACCATTTAGTGCTACATCTAATCAATTGATTAATAATGTATTCTTACCCCATGAATGTGGCCAATGGAATCTGAGGGCATGGGATGCACGCTAATCGATTTTGCATTCTGACTTGAATTTTCAGGGGCATGTCCATTGTCAAAAAATCTAGGAAGTGGAGTCAAAAAAGAACTCTTCCCTACAAAAGGTCACCAAATTTGGTGAATGACATTATTCAAGCATAATTTAGAACTTGTTTGATTACATTCTATCTAAGTAACTCATACTTCACTGAAACAAACTGACCCTAAGAAACACGAAGGCGAAGAACTGAAGGACACACTTCACATAAAAAAATCTAATAAATTTCCTACTCATTGCTATCAATAGAGGCCATAAATTATGCAATATTAAGTACATCTCAATTAAAGTTTACCAGAGCAGAGTCCCAGGAGTTTGCGTCTGCGTAAGCTCACCATGTTGGCAATCCTTTAATCAGTGAACAATGGTTTAGTTGATCGTCCTTTGCATTTATCCCTGTGTCTGTGCTCCTAATATTACCAAAGACGGGCGACTTATACCTGGATTAAACAATTTGAATAGCAAAAATTAAAGAAGAATATATTAGAAAATGAACAATATGGCAGATAAAACAGAAAGCTGAGAAATATAGGAAACAGCATTTTAGATAAGCAAACAAGATATTGAGGAAAAAAAAAGATAAGCAAGCAAGATATCATCTATCGTAGTTATATAGCAAAAGGAGACAAAGGTCAACAGAGGAAAAGCGGTTTCTTTGGGCTGATACAAGGAAGGCCATCAAATTACAGACATCAGAGGCCTCTTTTTTGAGTCAATGCAAGTAAATTGATTTAGACAAAGAAATTCAAGTAAAATGGAACTAAAATGTGAAATTCCCAGATGTTAATCAACTTTTTGTTATCAAGTATTAATGTCAACCAGAACTACAAGTACTTCTTAAAGTATTTTTGCCTTTCTCAATAAGAAAAAAAAAACACAAGTACTTCTTACAGAACTTGGTTGGCAGAAAACCAACTATTTTCTCATCATCACGTGCGTTTGATTTCAATAATGCTACATAGACAAGCAGGGGCTAAATCTCATGTAAGGATTGGATTGAGAAAAAGACAACAGAGTTGATGCTGGGACAACAGAAATCATTCATAAAGGAATTAGAGAATAATATGAACAAACGAATGCAAATCCCATGAAACGTTGTCAGTCACCCCCTATTCAGGTGAAATGGTATTCACTTCTAAAAGTTAACCAGGCTCCGGATAAGGGGTCAAGGTGACATAAAGTTCAGCCATAATTTATATATATATATATATGTAAAAAGGATAAAAGAAGATAAATTCATCATAATTTGCATAAAGTAAAGCCAAAACTTTCATCATGTGAAACTAACAAAGCTGTACAATGAGTCTGTTTAATAAAAATCCCAATTATCTCTCCGTGGAAAATAAGTCAACCCCACCAACCTACCACCTTTCATGGAAGCAGAGGCAGTGAAAAAACAAGACAAAACATAAAACCCAAACCCCAAAATACACAAAAATCAAAAAAGAAAAAGAAAACCCACAAAGCCAAAGCCTTTAAGCCCATCAAAGCAAAAAATGCCCATGACTTTATGACCAAGAACAGCAAAACCACCCATTACAAAGAAGAAGATAAATAAAATAAAAATAAAAAAGTCATTGTTTTTATCATTTGTTCGGTACCTGAGAAAGAGAAAGAAAAGGTGGTGGTTGAGGCAGCGTAGAAACCGAGGAGAAACAGAGAGAGAAAGGCAGGTTAAAATCTGGTAAACCAAAACAGGTAAAAAGGGGTTTGGGTTTTTTTGTGTGTGTGTTTTTGGTTATGGGGAGGAGGAAGGTGGTGAGGGAAGAGAAGACAGAAGGGAGAAAGAAAGAATTAGTGTTTTAAAGAAGTTGGTGTTGTTGATGTGGTGGTGGCTCATGCATCTACCACCTTTTGTTTGTTTGTTTGTTTGTTTGTTTTTGTGTTAAACTTTATTGAGTTTTGAGTGAAAGCCCATTTTTATGAAAGGGTGGTGGAGCTGCTGGGGCTGATGGTGTAGAGAGAGAAAGGAGAGAAAGAAAATCAAAGCAAACCAAAACCAAAGCCAAAGGCCAAAGTCTTTGGAGAGAGAGAGAGAGTGTGTGTGTGTGTGTGTGTGTGTGTATGTGTGTTGAATATGAGAACGGGAACGTATGCTTCTATTTGTGTACTTTTAGTCGTAGTGAGCCATGATTCCTTTATTGCCCCTCTCATCCTCAGAAAATACCATATCCCTTAGGTTTCTTTATCTGTGCTTTGGATTTACCTTACTACCCTTTCGCCTTTCGGAGGAGATAATAATCACTAATTCCAGAGATTAGTCTGAGTTGTTATATCTGATTTATGTCCTTTTTTTCTTTCTATTTTCTCTTTTTGCTTATTTCAAATATGATCATCTAACAATGACTAACCGTTTATGCTAACTTCCAATGGATTGAAACAAGGCGAATTCAGAAATTTTTTTGAGTAATGTCATAATTAAAATAATAATAATATAAATATGTTAAAATTCATTTTAACATTAAATTAAAAAAATATAAATTTAATACATTCATTTAATATTTCAAAGTAAAAATATTTAAAATAACTATAACTATCATGACAATTTTTCATATTTTGACAACAATGCATGATAACATTAATAGAAATATTATTGAATACATCTTTTTCAATATATATATCACCAAACAGTTATAGAACTTGAATTTTTTGAGAGGGATAGTGAAAAATGTAACCGAGGTCTAAGAAGAGGAAGCATCAATGCAGGTCTCAAGAGTATGATGAGGAAGGAAACTAGTTTAAATTTTAATTTTTTAAATAAAATCTTAAATTATAGAAAGAAATATATTTTGTCTTCATGTAATATTTAAATATTAATATATAAATTATTTTTTGATAAATTTATTTTGACTTGAAATTTTTTACACCATTTTCTTACAAAATTGTAAAAAAATTAATAGGTTCATTATTATTATTAACTATATTAAATTTAATAAAATTCAATAAAAATTGAAAAAAAAGTACAAATTTTTTATAAATAAGTGGTCTCATGTGACACCACTCTTCTCAAAATAGGTCGGCCCATGGATTGAAGGGATAGTTAAGGATAATTTAAAGAGGAAAAATAGACATGTTTTAGGCCTTTGGTTTAAGGGTATACGATTGTTAGCCATACAATTGATAATTATGGTACCTTTGTTAAAACATTTGTACATTGTACTTCGCTTTCCTTCTCTATCTATCATAACCATATATAAAAGAATTGTGTGAATATGCAATTTTGGCATTTTGCTAGAAGATTATAACAATTAAAAGGTAAAATTATGTTGTTTTCGCTAGTTTTGGTGAATTCATGATACTTGATCACATTCATTTTGTACATAATTAACAAATAGGAATTGAATTCTGATTAGTTTTAATATGTAAACTTCAAATATTGTACCCGCATTAATAGGTTTGGTCAAAATCTTTTATACCTTCATGTATTAATAGGTTTAGCCCAAAATCTTTTAAAAAGGGGGATTTGAAGAACATATACAGATACAGTAAGAATATGTCAATAGATTGGGCTTTTTATGAACATTTATCGATACGTGGTCAAATGTATCGATAGAATCATTTTCCAGAACACAATATATCGATACATTTGCTTGATATATCAATACATTACGTCGTTTTCAAAAAAATGAAAGGGAAAAATGGTATTTTCACTCTAAAACCTATAAATATCCCACATTTTCTAAGGTTTAGCAACCCTCAACTGCATTTTTCAAAGGCAACTTTCTCCCAAAACCCTTTCAACTCATTTTTAAGCAAAAATCATTTCTTTTTTTGTTTTTAAGCTTGGTTTTGAGATTTGATGACAAAAATGACATTTTTATTATTTGAAACCTTAAAAGCTTATCTTTTTTATTCTGAAAATATTGTTTCTTGGCCTAGAAATTCTGTTGGGGAATTAAAGTTCTAGGTTTTATAGTTTTTCTAGCTATCTACACTCATATAAGGTAAGAATAGAAGATTTAGTGACTTTAGAATGGGCTTAGTGAGAGAAAGTAGACTAGTCAAGAATGAGTAACTTGCGAAAGCTCTTAAAGTGACTAATCCAAGGTTATTAGTTTAGAAACTAATTTCTATGATTATATGTGATACGAACAATCAAAAACTCTAAGGAAATCATAGGAAAAGTGCTGTGATCAGATCTTCGATCAAGGTTAGTGGATACACTACTTTCAAATTATTTTGATATGTAAAGATAACATGATTTTTATGAAAATGATTATTTATACATGTTGAAATGATATCTATAAAATGGTTTATCAAAAGATTTGAGTTTCAAGGATGAAAATGGTATTCTAAGAAAATAAATTGTTAGTGATTGTGATATGATTAAAACAATGATTTTCAAAATGTTTACGAATCTACTATGTATGTCAATATTTTACTGTGTATTAGTTTTTAACAAAGGAGGACAAGCACCTTATTGTTTAAAGCACTCAATTCCTTTAGTCTTTAGACTAATGTGGGTACAAGATATAATTTATGATTAGTGAATGGATGCTATGATGTGTATGTTAGATGTGATGATGCATGAAATGTATGATAAATTGCATGATGGATTCCCATCTAAGATGCTATGTTATGTATATGATGTATATACCATATACTACGTGAGCTAATAGAGAAAGCATGATGAATGCCTTGAAATTAAGTACATGATGTGCATTCTATATACTACTTGAAATGATTGAGAAGGCATGATGAATGCATGAGATTATGTATATGATTTTTTTTTTCTTTATACCATATGAGATGAGTAAACTTATATGTGAAAGACATTCCACATACCTAATGTTATGAGTATGAAAGCTCTATGAGTGTGATTGATTCCACTCTCATGGAATGCAAATGACGACTTTACTCCTATGATGCATCATAAACATCTAAGGTGCAATGGGACTATATGTTGTTGGTCCCAAGTTGATAGGGGACATACCATCACAAAGTATGAGTTTAATGTTAATAGAATGATCATAGTTATTATGTTTATGGCATGTTGCATTCTAATGTTGTTTGAGTATTATTCATGATTTGTACTCTACGATGGCATGAGAATGTGCTTAGTTAAGAGGACTAAGCCTTTAAGAAAGTCCTAAGAGATAAGGGAACTTAAGGAATGGTAAAAATGAAGGATTTTGCCTAGAAATTTGAGTTCTAGGCAGAAAGTATCGATAAATATGGATTATGTATCGATACATTCTAAACAGAATACTTCAGAAGGTTTTCTGTGTGAAATGTATCGATACATTTTACTAATGTTGGTGCAGAATAGGTTGTTTGAGTGAATTTGATGAGAATTTCAAAGGTAAAGAATTTTCAAAGTTTATATCAACATGTTTTCAAGCAAATGCTATTCAAATGTGTTTAAATACCATGTTTTATGAACCTTATGATTAAACTGTTTATGAATGGCATGAGATTACAAGTTCATGTTTACGAAATACTCTTATCTCTGAGCTTACCCCTTCCTATATCCACTCACGGAGTCTTTATGACTCACATGTTATCTTCTCCAATTATTTTTGTTTGTAGGTTAGTGATAGTAGATAGCATTTGATAGTAACCAGGGCCATAGAGATGTGATCCGCTTCTCTTTTGATGGGTGATTTAGTAGTCATTTGCAACCTAAAGGTCGAGTCATGTTCCACTGACGAGTCAGTCTTTACTTGTGCTGATGTTTACAGACTATGAACATGTTTATGTTAGTATTGCCACTGTTTGGGCATTTTACATTGATTATGGTTTCTATGAGATTATAATGATGGCTCAAGAGCCTGTATGGACACCCAAGAGTGTGGATAATGTTTAATGTTATTGTGTACTGCAATAATGGCACTTGACAATATATATGAAAATTTTGAGCTTATACAATTAACTTGAGAAATTCCTTAATTGTGAAATGAGTTTTATGAAATGTGTGCATGATGAAAATGTATGATAATGGATACTATGTGATGATTTCATATGCAATGATGAATGTTTACAGATGTTTAAGGTAAAAAGTTTGCTTAGGCCAGGTTATACTCATCTAGGTCCATACATCAATCACGATCCCTCCAGGAAATGGGATGTGACGACATAAATGATGCTATGTGATGTATACTTGTTATGTTAGCCTAAAAGTAAAATTCTTAGGCAATTATCTAAATTTGAATTCTATGAATTCTAACTTTGTTGAGAAATTCTCTAAGTTTTCATAGAACCTTTTGAAAGTTACACGTATGTATACACCTATGTATGCTTTGAAATTGGGAATCAAACCTCTTCAAAAATATTTAATCATCAAATATGTTTGATTTGTTGTGAACCACATGGTGGCAAGTATGTTTTGCTCTATCTTTGTACTCCCAATCATAAGATTTGCTGACCTTAATTATGTGACCAATGAATTATTTGTTTATGTAATATTAATGTTAATTAAGCTTGCCATAATTATGTATAAGATTATGTCATGTATTTGGGAATAGTCTATTCATGATAAATGGTCTAATTAAGAATCAATATGTCTTAGATACATTGACAAGTGGAAGCATATGGAAATTTATGTTTGAGCTGGCAAGCATATGAGGCTTATTAAGCTATGATCATTTAATGTGAAATTGACTATATGAGATGTTAATGGCATGATGGCCTTGAATTTGGATATATGTTCCATTTGTTAGTTATAAATCCTGAACATTGATCTAATTATGGTTATGGTGTCCACCCCTATGACTTTATACTTCGTCAACTGCTTCAGCATTGTGCATGATTTATTTCTCTTCTAGTTTCTTTGGCTCCAAGCATGATCTGTTTCTCTACCGACTACTTCAACATGGCACATGATCTGCTTCTCCGCCAGATGCTTCGACACTGTGTGTGATTTATTCTTCTACCGGATGCTATGACACCGAGCATGATCTATTTCTCCATTGACTACTTTGGCGTCATACGTGATTTGATTTTTGTCGATTGGTCACTGTACGATGACGTTGTTTATGTTTAGAGAAGACCTCTCATTAATTATGCTCTGTATATGATGATACGATTCCATGAATAATATTTTGTGTTATTTGACTACGTGATTATTAACGA